TGCTTTGTTGCGTATCAAGGAGCCATTTTTGTCCTTATTGTCTCGCTGACAAGAGGTTTTCGAGGACCAGTCGAACGAAAAGCTTATGCACGTTTCCAGCATTTTTTGCATCTTCCATTCCTTCGACCTTTCGGGTCCACCGAGTTTCTCGGTCTGCGCGGACACTCATTTTCATCTGGCGTCGGATGATGCGCCGGGTAGAGTTGTGGTGCTGGCTAGGTGGAATCTGTCGCCGGGTCTCTAGCAAAGATACGGTCCTATCAGAGATCCAATGCTTGGATGGGGTTGGCTGGGTTGTACCGCAAACAGACATTCCGGCTTTGATTAGCGCTTTGGACATTTTTTCCCAGTGGTCGTTTATATTCGACACCGTAGCGTCCGGAAGGCATTTAAGGAACAGGTGCAGGCGGCCAGGTGAATTGGTCTCGACAGTGGCCCGCCCGGTGATTCAGGAGTTCCTCCTCCACTGATAAGCGAGCCGTTGGCAGTTGTTTGACTGATCGGAGGCTTCTTTGGGCCGTGCGTATGAGTGCAGGCGGCCAGGTGAATTGGTTTCGACAGTGCTCAGCCCGGTGATTCAGGAGTTCCTCCTCCACTGATAAGCGAGCCGTTGGCAGTTGTTTGACTGATCGGAGGCTTCTTTGGGCCCGCTGTGCGTATGAAGTGAGTTAGTTTATGCACACTCCTTCAGTTCCTCGCCTACTTCATTTCCTCAGCTTTCTGTGTCCACCAAGCTCAGGCACTGTTTCCCCTAAAGTCATCATACTCATCATCATCGCCAGCATGACATCAGTGTTCAACACCGATGCTTCACTCCCGACCAGGAGGACTATGTGTCTTAGATTCGAGCAGTTTTAATGTGTAAGCAGGGTAGCGTAAGCAGATACACTGAACAGACAAAATTATCAACTGCTATACTGGATACTCTCGTAAACATTACCAAACGGACTGCACAGACGTGAATATCAACGGCAAGCATTCAACCTGAGACCCTTTAGCTCGGTGGCTTAGAACAACAGCGGCTTATGGATCATCAGAGGTGCCCAACTAGAACCGGGCGACGACCGATGGGGAGGTCAGTTGAATAACCGTACTTGGGTCTTGAATCCTCGTTTCATATAGACAGCACACCAATAGAAAGCGAGTCCAGCGTACATCCTAGATCAATCTTTTTTCAGCTTATTTTAGAGTGCGAGTGTGAAGTGAGCGACGGGGTTTGAATAAGGAGTTAGAATTTCTATGCTCTTGGCGGCGGAGTCAACCGTAGTTATTTCAGCTAGCGGCAATGAGTGGCGAACGGATCTGTTAGCCCTTAAGAACGGATCTGCGGAGATTTCGCTAGAAACGGGATGAAACAGGGAGAGAAAGGACGAATATGTGAAATAGAAGGGAGACTTCAATAGTAGCCTGTTTTCGTTTACCCACCCCGCTGTATGCTGCAAGTAAGGCACCACACGTCAGCCGATATGGCTTAAGAGTATTGTTTGTTGTAAGCATCATGGTTGTAGATGCGCTGAGGGATTTCAAAAACGTTCAGGCCTAGCTAGGAGGACGATTAGGGTCCCAAACCGAAGTCTTGGGCTCAAAGGCATAACCGCAAGGCATCGATGGTTGACATGAGACAGTCAGAGTTGCCTATATTTTCAAGGATGATGTCGCCTCACTTGTTCTAACCCTCAACAGGGAGGACCAGAAGACTGTAATCGTCAGAGCTCTTCCCACTGAGCAGCCTGATATTACAGGCTCTGTGAGTGTTGCACGTACGCTCCCAGGTATAGCTCGAACTATGAAGGTGTACAAGATGTCAAACCGCGGTAAGGTCCAGTCTGTTCGTGACAGAAGTTTGTTTTACTTATACTGAATTTACTTAGAACGGCCGCTTGTGTTAGTTCTGCTATCCGATCTGCTGTTCAGACAGCTAACAGCAAAACGATAAGGGGAGAAGAACTGACGCCGCCACTTTCGATGGTCGTTTTTCTTCTTTAGAACATCCTTTGTGGACTCGTAGTCGAGGCCAGCTATTCCCTGTTGGGCTTAGTGCCTTTTGGCCTTTTCTCACAATAATTCCGTTTATTCGTTTGATGGGATTCGGGATCACTTTATGTAGGGACCACCGTGGGTTGTATAAAAAATCGTTCAGCTGTGACACTCGCTATTTAACTGCCATACCAGCCGAAGGGAGCAAGAGGGCTGGGATACTGCCAGGTTGCCGAAGCCGAGACAGGGGAAGTCGAGAGGCGGAGGTCGGGTTCGAACGACGGACCTTCCCGTCAGTAAATTCGCGCTCTAACCACTGAGCCATCTCACCCCGAGGGCTGTATGGTTGTCCGGGAAACCGGGCGTGGTTGAAGTATATGCTTCTTGTCTTTACTCTGCGGTGGATGATTTGTGATAGGATGAGTAGAATTTACCGATATCTCCTGTCGCCGTTGCCCACGAACGGTCGTAGGGTAGATTCGCATACACTGAGACTCTTCCGGTCGCAGCAACGGATATCATATGCCAACTTGAGATCAAACCCCTCCAGATCTGATGGTGCCACTCCAAGTTCATGTCTGCCCTCCAAGTAGCTCCAGCGAGAGCTAATGCAGTTTTTCAAAGTTCACTCATCGCTTGGTGGACCATCGAATCCTGAGACGCTCATCTTTCTTGGTGGAAACCAAAAGCTACCTTTTCAGGAAGCGTTTTGAAGCGTGTGCTTAACCCCGTGACACCGACTTCTGTTTCCATTTCGTTCTGCCACGAACTGAAACAGCTACTTTAAAATTTTGGCGCATTTGTTTACGACCAGTATAACCAGGTTTATGATGGGGTTGTCCAGCGGCAGATTCTTGCTTGAAGTTATTTTCCTATGTAGAGTGTCCCTTTCATATTTGCTTTCGCTTTCAGCCTAGCTGATTCTCGTCTATTTTCCTCATCTGTCCACGGTTGCAAAACCTTGATGGTACATCGTGGTATTGGCGATTTCTTTCCTCATCACTGTATACACTGCTTACTCAACATTCCACTGTGAAAGCTAAAATGGCAGATGTTGCAGCACATACAAGCGAGATTGCGGGTGCGAGTGCCGTCGGCGAAGGATCTCAGGCCGCCAAAAAGAAAGATAAGAAGAAGCCAGTGAAGAAAGAAGTAAAACCAACCAAAGAGGAGGCCAAGGAGAAAAAGGTTTCCAAACAACTGGCTAAGATTAAAGAAGAAATTGCCAGACGGCGCGAGGAAGAGGAACGAATCCGTCGTGAACAAGAAGAGGAAGAACGCCGTCTGGAAGAGGAACAGCGTAAAAGAGAGGAACAAGAAGCGAAAGAACGCGAACTACGTGAACGTAGGAAGCAGAAAGATAAGGAGAGAAAACAAAGGCTGAAAGAGGAAGGAAAACTTCTTACTGACAAACAGAAAGAGGATAGGCGCAAAGTTTTGGAACTACTTCAAGCTCGTGGAATCGATGTCCCGGATGATAAGAACGTGGATGACAGGAAGAAACCACAATATGCAAAGCTGAAGAAAAAATCAAATCAACCGAAAGACTTGAAAATAGAGGACACCACACCGGTGGAAACAAAACAGCCGGAAGATGAATCGCAAGAGAATCAAATTTTATCGAGTTGGGAGTTGATGGCCGATGCCTTGAAGGAGTCCAGGAACGGAATTACAGACGGCCCAGTTCGACTGGCAAGCGGTTCCAGTGCTGAGACCCCTGAGGAAGATGTTCGTCGTGAACCGGGTGAAGCTTTCAGTCATAGTGAAGTTGCATTAAGTGAGGAGGAGAAGGAGAAGTTGATTGAAGCTGCGAAAAAACGTATACATGTAAGTTATACATTTTTCTAATGGAACTGGGTATTTTAGGAGCGGCATCTCGCATACGAAGCGAACCGAAGTGTACAAAAGCTACGCGCTGGAGTTATATGTGTCTTGGGACATGTTGATACGGGGAAAACCAAGATTCTTGACAAACTTCGGAACACAAACGTTCAGGATCGAGAAGCCGGTGGGATAACACAACAGATTGGTGCGACGAATGTCCCACTGGAAAACATCAAGATTGCCACTAAGATGTGCCCTTATTTCCACATAGACCAGTTACGTGTACCAGGTTTGCTCATCATCGATACGCCCGGACACGAATCCTTCAGGTATGCTCCAATTCATTTTATCTAATCACTGTTATATCACAGTAACCTCCGTGTACGTGGCTCATCTTTGTGTGATCTGGCAATTTTGGTAGTTGATCTGATGCATGGCCTTGAGGACTGTTATATCACAGTAACCTCCGTGTACGTGGCTCATCTTTGTGTGATCTGGCAATTTTGGTAGTGGATCTGATGCATGGCCTAGAGGAACAAACTAAAGAGTCGATTCGTATTTTACGTTCCCGCAAAACACCGTTCGTCGTAGCGTTGAATAAAATCGATCGTCTCTATGGCTGGAACTCGAATCCCAACCAAGATGTTCAAACGACCCTGAAAAATCAAGAGCAGATGACAAAGAATGATTTTGATGATCACTTCAAGAAGGTAAGCCGTAGCTGTAATGTGGATTGAGACGATTTTTCGACTACGTTGAATAAAAGGTAATGCTAAGTCGTTCATCTGTAACGCCCTTTCGATGCCTAGCTGCCATGCCACCAGAAGGCAGCACGAGGGCTGCGATGCTGCCAGGTTGCCCAACCTTAGACGGGGAAGTCGAGAGGCAGAGATCGGTCTCGAACCACGAACCTTCCCATCAGTAAATTCGCGCTCTAATCATAGCCATTTCGGCGGATAGGCAAACAGACAGCTTAATCTGCGCACTGTTTTTTGATCATCAGGCTCCGGCTATTGTTAATGGTTAATATGATTATAAAATTCAGTGAGCGTAGGTGTGTGGTGTGTGTCGATTCTGTTTTGGACTTTTTCCTATCATGGCTGAAATAGGACCGTGCTGCTGTATATTCGACTTCGGCTCATTTCGTAGGCTTTGGTTGTGGGTATCGCAAAGTAGTAAAAGGAAAGGGATTTTTCATGAAGAGACCCTTCGGAGAAGTGGTGACTCTCATTCAGGACAGTATCCGGACACTATTCGTTGTCAGCCGCGAATTAATGGAACTTATATATATATATATATATATACCGACAATCTAAAGAGAAGGGAGTCGCAGCCCTCGGCGCGCTGCAACTGAAACCAATTGTTCAGGGGGCGTACGGCAATATTTCGGGTTTGCTGCTTTTTTGGTGATTATATCCCCCGTCGGTTAGTTGTTGTATTACGGCAGAACCAGTGGTTCTATAGCCTGTCCTTTCTAATAGGGTAGTCACGTTTCACAAAAGAAAACAAGCCAATTGAGATGGTTGTATTCCATTGCATTTAGTACCAAGATGATTGTATTGTCGTATACGGGTAGTACTATATCTTAGTGTGCGTTGATGACGTTAAATCTCAAGCTAAGCAATAAGTGACCGACAGATGAATGAGGCTACAACATCTGAATGAACTCAGATAGGCAGATTAAGTTACCAGTCGTAGTGTTACCTTCTGAACGGAGCCGCTACACTTGATTATCTTAGTGCCCAGAGACACTCACATAAATGCCATATTAGTAAAAGCGGTTGCTGCGTAACTCGCCCAAGTGGGAATGGCAAGCAACCCCGATTATTGAAAGCTGACAGGGTTTGGAAATGTGGAATTTTTTCACTGGTTTCCATGAGTTCCTTTGCTGTGTAGTCCCTCGTTGCCTTTTATTTCATAAGGTCATACAAGATTTCGCGTTAATGGAGCTCAACGTCAAGCTGTTTTACGAGAATGATAACCCCGACGAGTTCATCAGCATGGTACCCACGTCTGCTCACACCGGAGATGGAATGGGCGATTTGTTGTCCGCGTTGTGCATGCATTTGCAAGATCGATTGGCAAAACGCCTGGCCTTCTCAGAAGAGCTTCAGGCTTCAGTCATGGAAGTAAGTCTTACTTGTTGCGGCCTACTTCTCCTCGATCCACTGTTCAGGGTTATTATTTTCCATTCGCGTCTATAGTCGATACTCCTTCGTTGTTCTTTTCTAACAGGTGAACAAGGAATTCCACGGTTGAATAGCTTGGTTCAGTCAGCTGCGCTTTCCATTTTTTTAGCTGCGTAAATGAGGATTGCCAAGCGGGCGCAAATAGGCCTAAACTGATAGTGTTTTAGAGGTATGAAGTTAAGCATATGCTTCAGGATTATCTTTTGGACTGCTTCACGGGTGCACATGTTTTTATAAAAGGGCTTTTAGTCATAACTTTCCACATGTTTGACGCTTTCAGTCGCCACTTGCTTGCAATTTTTTGTTGTTTGCTATTGTTGAATCTCGTTAGACTGCTCCCCGGATTTCACGGAGTTCACTTTTGTTCTTCCAGGTCAAAGAATTACACGGCCTTGGTACAACGATCGACATAATTGTTGTCAACGGATACCTACACGAAGGAGATACTATCGTTCTTGCTGGCCAGGAGGGACCTATCGCCACCCAGGTGCGTGGTTTGTTACAACCCGCCCCAATGGCGGAGCTGCGCGTGAAGGGTACATATCAGCACATGAAAGAGATCAAGGGTGCTCAGGGCGTAAAACTAATAGCAAAGGATCTTGACAAAGCCCTCGCAGGACTTCCACTGTATGTGGCTACGGACCTCGGAGAGGAGCTTTACTTCAAAGTGAGTCGCAATTTACTTCCGTTTTTTTTTACAACCTTGCAGAGCTGAGTTATGTAAACTTCTACTCAGCAATGAGGTTTCCGTGATGTCTCCTGCGGATAATGGTTATGGATAAAAATATTCAGTTGTTAATTATTATCGACATTTTCTCATTCGGGGGTGCGATAATCCTTTTGTTTATCGCGGAGTTTTTCTGCTCCATTTTGTGAGGCTCATTTGTTTCATCTGTTTTACTACGCCTTTATAAGGCAAGTGCGGGGCAGTGCCTCAGACGACCATGTTTTCTTCGCACGTTAAGAGCCGTGTGCATCCCAAGATCTAGGACATGAGCTCCTTGTCGAGAGTTCCTTGCTTCATCCCAAGATCTAGGACATGAGCTCCTTGCTCCAGTGCTGTTCAATCAAGCTTGGACAAGGTGGCATCATCTCAGCCGCATACTTTCTTCGGGTTGCATGGCGTCGAGACGCTGATATCATCTATATTATTCATAGGAACTAATTTAAGTTTCCTTCAGGTGGATGACAACTTCCATAAGTCTGTCGCATCCCCATTCCGTTATGATTTTTTGTACCTCAGGAGGAAGTATGCCGTGGTTTGAAAGAAGCCCTGAAGGCTATTGCCGTCGCTCCTATCGGTGTATACGTGGTGGCCAGTACACTTGGTTCCTTGGAGTCGCTGTTGGTTTACTTGAAGTCCGTCGAGATTCCAGTAAGTTTCATCCATTAAACCCCAACAGTTACCACTTATTACAAAGAATCAAGTTGTTTGAAAAGGTTATACTTTTAGTCCAACCGGGTGGATCATTTGATCTTTGACTGGTACTTATCACCAAAGTTTGTTCATGCATTCTAATGTAGCCAGCTGCATTCCGTCTACTGCCACTGAACGCGTGTACCGGTCTGTTATGTTTATCTCAGTGCTCTGCATTTAGGCCGAATCTTAACAGCTCTTGACTCTCCTGTGACCATCAATGTCCTCTTGCTCAGGTATTTATAGTAGTTTGGTGTTTCGTGACTACTTTACTCAGTCCCACTCTAGCTTCTTAATATTCCTCCTTGTCATCCCGGATAACGTGGAGTCGCACGTTGTCCAACATTTGGTCACTGACTACTGATCACCAATTTACCAGCTATTTGCAGTTTTGTAAGTTGCTATTCTGCACACTCCAACATCATGTTGTACATAAACGTCAATACATCGGGAGTTAATACTGTTGCTTGACTCTGAGAACCACAGGGGAGGAACGTTCTAGTAAATGCGGAAATAGGGGGAAGTGTTAGGACTTGGTGTACAAAAGTCGTGTGTACTTAGAAAAGACGATTAAGAACAAATTGTTCACGTACTTGCACAGCAATGAAATAAACATATCTCAAGACTGTGCTCGAGCCCCAGCCTCGGTGAACTTCACTCAAAGTGATTTGGATACTAAACATTCCGGAAGTGTCTTTTGCTTGCTTTTTCGCACCGTTTAACACATTTGTCCAATGTTTTCGCTCATTTTAGTATGCTGGTATCAACATTGGTACTGTCCATAAAAAGGACGTCATGAAAGCTTCGGTCATGGTAGAACGAGAGCCGAAGTGGGCGGTGATTTTGGCCTTTGACGTGAAGATCGACAGAGATGCACAAAAGCTGGCAGCCGATTTGAATGTGCGCATATTCACTTCAGAGATTATTTACAGGCTCCAAACACAAATGGAAGAGTATATGTGAGTGAATTACCGTTATACACTCATGTTAGTGTTGTGTCCCGTGTCTTGTGAACTTGAAGCTTAATTGCTTTCGAAAACTCTCCTTTATAATCGTATTGGCGATTCTACATGTTTGACTTTTACTCCGATTAATTTACCGGCTATTGTTTTAATGCGTCATTTAGTATCCCTCTTCGCCATGCTTATCGCGTTACTTATTTGGACCCCAAAACACAGCATTCGGTCTATATTATTGTCAAAGAACGATACCAGATATGTTCTGGTGTTTCAATTATGTCCCACCTTACTTATCATTGTGCTATGTGCTTTTACCCTCACGTACACTTAGACGGTGATATTGGTTCAGGTGTAATCAGGCCGTGCTCTTTGGGAAGTGATTGCGGTTAATGAACTGGCAAGCTTGGTGAACGGACTAAGTTGCTACACCGGGTTACTAATATGTGGACAAACTGTTACAAGACCGTAGTCATGCACTGGAAAAACCATACAATATTTTCGCCCTTGATTGGGAGTATCATGTGAATCCTCTGGGTTGCTTTTTGAAAAAAAGTGGCCGACGTGCACCGCCCCAACAATTCATCTCTACAAAACACTGAACATTTCGTCTGGATGCCCTGATACCTGTGCGCTGTTGCATGCAAACTCGGATGGCTTATGAAACCGAGATTTAGGATGTTTCATTCAGCTTTAGATTGTGGTTGTGACCACAATTATTGGACATCACTAAGCCAGACCGTCCTCAAAAGCGGTGACAAGCGGAAACAAACTGAATAGGAAAGTTCATTTCTAGCTCACTCCGCATGGTACAATAGTGCGGCAAGGGCACGTTAGTCCCTGAGATTACTGTTTTCCACCGATAACGAAGAGATTTTATCCGCCGTGGTATCGATCACCTGTCTAGTTCATTGAAGGCTATTGATGGGTTCTGAGCTGAACCTGAAGTTATTGCTATTGGAATAAAAGTGTGAATAACTGCTCGTGGCAGCCACTCTCTATTACGACTCAACAAACGCCTAGTAAATCTGATCACTTTGAAGGGGCTTTTGCTCCGTGTAATGAACTTTGAATGGTAACCTTGCGCAGCCACATGATCGTATTTGAGAGGGAGTCGTCACAGGTGCCTTTGATAGCGGAGCTACCGTACATTTTTAACGTTTGTTGTCCGTAACCATTGCTGCATTCTGTGTGAGCTCGAGGTTGCCAAGTTGTCAGTGGGCGGGATACTGCGCTTCGAGTCCGGTCCTTGTTTTCAAATTGCAATCTGGCAGGATCTCAACTCTCACGTCTCATTTGTTTCGTATTGCACGTATGCAACGGAAGGGCGTAAAAGCTGGACGATTGTTTTTCTTGGTTTTTTATCTCAGAATCACCACGCAGGAAATGTGGCTGCATTTGGATATTTCGGGTGTCTGCTCATTTGAGGATTGATGTCTCTGCAGCGGAGAGGAATAAAATATTGCTTAAAATCACAGTCGTTCTACGTGAACTTTTTCCCACCCACCCCCCAAGACCTGTCGAACTTTTGATTGGATGCCGTTAGATTCGTCCTTGAATTCTGTTTGCTGAAATTAGTTTTGTAGACTCCGTAGTTGTGGTGAATCAGCTGGTAAATTAGAGGCACTGGGTTGATATTTCCTAATTTTTTTACTAGACTTCGCTATACTTCAACAACACCCATTATCCCAACCCTTTCGCGTTTTGTTTACAGTGAAGACTTGAAGCGAGGAAATCGTCGTAAGCACCGTGATCTGGCCGTCTATCCATGCAAGCTTCGCATACTTCCCGACATGGTATTCAATAAACGAGCTCCAATTGTTGTCGGTGTGCACATCGAAGCTGGAGTTTTGCGGGAGAATACACCCATTTGTGTACCGAGCCGCGAATGTGTACATCTAGGTCGTGTATTCTCAATCGAGTTTAATCACAAACCTCTACAAGAAGCACGCACTGGTCAGGAAGTGTGTATTCGTATTGATCCCCTAGATGGTGAAACCCCGAAGCTTTACGGTCGTCACTTCGACCATAACGATTTGCTCGTTTCAAAGGTATGTGTTTCTTTTGAATGCCTTCCTGCTTTGTATTCTACACAACATCGCTTGATGTTCCATATTATCAACATGGAATCGCAGCCCCACATCCATCTGAGAGCTTGGTGTATGTTCCACAAATCTGTTCCCAAGACCATTCGTTGTATTGATCCATCTTTGTAGAAGCGTAGCTCACCTAACCCCCTAGCCACTTCAACAAGTTACTCAGGCCAGGCATCTACAGAGTTTTAATTCAGTGCACTCCGTTGCGTCATCAGAAGGCATTTATGATTGTCGCACTTAGCAGCTGACCAAGTTGTCAAGCAGAGCAACTTGCTGTCCCCTGAGGCAACTCAAGTTTTAAACTATTGGCTTTCGGCATTGTTACCTTTCTTGTTGACTGGTTGTCATGCTACTTGGGCTGATATTCTGGTAGGGATACCGGAGACAAGACATGAGCAGCATATGGAGCTGGGAATAGGCAGGAGCGAGCTGTATCAGCATATGGAGCTGGGAATAGGCAGGAGCACGGACCTCTCAGTAACGAGCTGTAGTGAGCGTACTAGTGTCTAAAAGTTTGCTACTTCATAGGACGCTTGGAGAATTTGTCCAATTAGGCAACCACCTTGTACTTGTTCTTTCGGTTGGGCTGTAGTTGGTATCAAGCAGTCAAAAATTCCACAGGGAAGTATGTTACGTGATCCACTAAGCTTGTCTCGTTAGTTTTATGCTCCACTGGCTCCATATCACCACTCAACGAGGCTTTGTAGACAGTAGTCCAGTCCCGCTCTATACACGAAAGTTAAAGTGTTTTTTAGATTGAATGTTCATTCACGGAGAGTTTGGTCTAGTGAGAAAAGTTCGAAGTTCTAGGGTTGTGGTGTCCGTTCAAAGAAACAGGCTTTTGCAGCCTTTATTCATTTTTTCCATCTGACGGTTGATAAAATCATTCCTGTCTTTGTTGGTCAATCGCTATTACAACGGAACTGAATTCTCTGAATCTTGTAGGCGTTGACAAGAACAGGGTTACTTTATTCGTTCACCGATGATTCGGGGAGTTTGGGTAGGTAGCTGCACATTGGAGGCGGGAGCTGATAGATTAGTGCGTAAATACAGCACTGTAGGTGGACTGTTGATTAATGGGATTGGGAAGGGAGCTATGCATTGAAGGCAATAGCTTAGATGCATGAGCGCCATTGAGGGCGCGACTGGGCCATGTCTGACAATGTCTCTAACCATTGATATGGCCCGTCGGTTACTTTATTAGGATGGTTTCATGCTTTATAGCTTTCACTGTCGTACGCATATCGCACTCGGTGACCTCCTTGCATGTCTGTCGCGACACGAAAACTCTGGAACTTGAAATCACATAGATCGTTCTCAAGTCAGTCGCCGAATTTTCTACGAAATCCTTCGTTCGACCGTCTTTATTTGGAAACTGGTCATCTGAATACCGAGATGATTGGTTCTACTCCCCTCTCTCCTTAGTCCGTACGGACACAGGATTGGTTTTTGTTGGAGCATTGTTTCCACCCTTTCTTGTGGATTAGGCAGAATAATTGTACCAGGGCAACAGGACTCTTTAAAACGACCGCGATGTGGATACATATTCCTTCAAAACCACGTACAAATAATCGGTTGTCTGAACCATGCGTACCGATTAAATGTCATCTCTTTCCTATTTTAATTTTCCAGATAAGCCGTGAGAGTATCGATGTTATGAAGGAGCACTTCCGCTCCGATCTAACGAAGGAGGACTGGAGGCTAATGGTTGAATTGAAGAAGTTGTTGGACATATTCTAGTGCTCACTATTCCACCTCTCCCGATCCCGTGACCGCGTGTAAATTCTCCTCAGACCTGTTCGCCTCTTCGTTGATTTGTGATTGTTCTCCCTTATACCATCACGTCTTCGAGTGCAGTTCATCTATTTTTGCACATCGCACATGTGCTTCTACCGGGGACGACTTTTCTCGTGGGATAGATTCTTTTGGTAATCAGTTCGTGTTTTACAAGCCTTCTACTTGAGTGCACGGTACTGAGTCGTATTTCGCTCCCTCAGTTCCAACTCACGAGCAAATACGCTCGAATGAGAAAAAGAGTGAACAGTGTTCGACTTTGAGGAAGGCGCCGTAACCTAACCGCATCCTAACTCTAGGGAGAAATGCGTGGAAATGTCCCCACAGTCCAATGTTCATTTGTCCGAAATATTGTAGTACACATGTTTTTTCATGACTCGAAATACCCATTACAATATAGACAACAAAGGCAATTCAGGCACGATCATATACGAGGAAACTTTCCAAGGTAGCGTCAAATGGAGAAGCGGCACCACAATGAGGGCGATGCCAGGGTAGGTCTGGACACTAAGACACTTCCCACCACTTGAAAGTTTGATCCGGTTAAACAGATTCTCACGTTTCGTCGGTAGGTTCTGCATCGAGCAGATGTGGTTGATGCCTCCGTTCATTATCAGTATCCTCAGTGCAGTTCCATTGTCGCAGAATCGCATGAGTTGTATGTGTTACATTCATTTGGTCGCTAAAGAGATACCAACAGTCTTACAGACGATCAAGTCATCGTTTTCTTTTAAAGAACCTTAACACTATGCAAACACTCCTTCAAGTGCGTGACCAGACTAGGCTACCTGTTTGCTCAGGTGAGGGATAGTCAGATTACGGATCCCGACGGGTCATTCACGAAGGACCTGATAAAATCAAGCGATTGGCTTGGAATTCAACCGGGTGTTGTGAATAAATGTGCAGTTTGGTCCAGGATACCTCAGTTTCATCAGAACTCACCCTCGTTCGACACACGGGAGTTAGGTAGAATGATTCTGACTCGTAGTTACACGTTCGGTGAATAGGAATTTCGTAGATAATTACGGGGCGCTTACCGTCATTCTCCCTGACCGCAACACCTGAGGAAGCATTCGTGACTAGAATTTAGCATGACCAAACGTAATGCAGCAACCCCCAATTGTGCCCTTCACGAAGAGATGTAACTCTCTGAGAGAGTGTATCGTGAACACTCCAAGCCGGATTTCGACTGAATTTTTTTCGTATCTCAAAAAATTGTCGCCGCTCATTCAAAGAGCAATTCTTTTTACAATGAAAATCCATCGACAGCCCACGACCGTTTTCGCCCTTTTTGGGGCTCATCAGGTAGGCGCAGTCCCCGGATTTCCGTCAACCTTATGTTCTACTTGAAACCAAATTGCACGAAATTAGCGAATATACACTCATTTGCAAACTAATTTGGTTTTTCGAGATACTCACCTGGAACCCAGCTGAATCTCTCGTTTGTGATGTTCTCAGGCAACTGAATGTGCTACACCAGGCCGCCTCATGTTTCAGTCGTTACGATATTCGAGGTATCACCCCAAAAAGGGGTGCCAGTTGATTTTGCTAGCACGTTCAGCGCCGGGCGCTGCTTTTAGAGACTACTGCGCTCTCAAGATGACAGGGAAACTGTACGGTGCCAGATTTGTTTGGAGTGCGAAGGGCATACCACGTCTTAAGAAGGCTGCTTCCAAGTACAGGGCAGTTTGGTCACCCAGGTTGAAAAGCATCTTTTGTCATTCCATGCTCCATCCGACGGTTTCACCTGTGAGTGATAGTGAAGGATGACATTCGAAGACCGTTGATCTAGGCGCCAACTATGCCACTAACATCAAATCCATACAAAGCACTTTGAACTGACACTGCAGTGTAACAGCAAGGGTTCATTGCAGGGAAGTGCGGTACTACGGGGTGCATCAAAGTTTGCTAAAAATAGGTGAAGTTCATTCATTTGTGAATTGCATTGGTATTGACGTAAGACAACTAAACCTCTCATTCGTGGTGTTCTTCAAGCGAATATGCCACAGAAAGGCTGTTGACACGATATTCGAGCTATTTTCTTTGCTGGAACACCACAGTTCACGTCCGCGTGTCGTGATCGAAAACCTGGAGTGAACCGTATTTGACCTACTTTGGTGTTCACGTCGCCTTGAGACCCCTCCTGACTGACACTCACGTTGCTTTGAAAATTATGGCTTCAAGGTTAGGTTGCAAAGCAAGCACGACCTGACCGGAGGGTGGAAGACTGGTTATCAAGGGGTATAAGATTCGAAATGTAGTGGTTTCTGTGTTCTAGAATGCCTTCTGACCGAAGACGTGCAAAATGGCGCGAAAAGTGAGAAGTCAACGAAGAACTAAGACATTTCCCCGAAGTCGAAAGATGTATTGGGAACCACAACCAAACGACCGAAAGACTATTCTGAAGGCGTATATTTTACATGTGTGGGTTCTTCATTTCTTACAAGGGCCAGGTGTGCCTATCGCGAAAATCATCCAGTAGCTTACCGATGTTATTGTATCTCCACAGTTAGCGGGAAACTCAACACACTTTCCTATACGTAGGCACAGCTCGAATTGTGTGTTCATCCTTCAAGAGAGGATGTTCCTTTGGTGGCTGAAGGTAATTCCGGTGAAGACAACGCAAGTAAGAGGTCTTTCAAGTCATGGTATATTTTAGTGTGTGCTTAGTATGCTGGTGTATTTCCAAGTAGCTGCTTTGCTGTCTTTAAGTAGGTGGGTCTGCTGTTCTACCGGTATCCAATTCCAACCAAAAGGACCAATTCATCCCGATCCTGTGAGCTTTATCCTTTCGTCGACGGGCAAAGCGCCAACCTCTCCAAGAGGGACCGGGAAATTCCGGCATGTTTGACCGACAGAGACCAGTAATCCGGAAATGGGAACGCCATCTGCCCCAACAATTGATTCCTGTTTGGCTGTGTTAAGTCGGAATACAAGGAAACCAGGTTTAGCTCAACTGATTATCTCGAGTGCGCATTCCTGATACTGCCTAATGAGATTGACAACTGAACTTTCTGCACAAAAGGCTAACCTTATTCCTTGTGTGAAACTCAGCTAATCATGAGAACTGCCATACGAATCGAGATTGACTGTGGTTGGCCTAGATTTTCTAGCTTACGATGTGAACACAGTCGTGTGGCCAATAATCCAGGTAAATGGCCCATTTCTTCAGACGGTCAAATCAAGAGAAATAAAATTTCCCTACAGCTTAGGTGTGACAACCAGGTGAAAGTTAGCCTTTCTGTTGTTGAAGTGTTTCCGAATATGGGGGTGACAGTTGACCAATGTGCCGATAGCGATTAATGAAAAAACCACTGTACCGTACATAATGTTCTCTGCATGATATATCTGAGGTCGACCAGTCAAATAGCGCGAAGGTGGAGCGGTGGATGACAAATAAAAGGAGGTCGCGTGAATGGTGTCAAATTACCTACTTCAAGTAATGAAATCCCATGACTTTAGTTTGAGAATCACATTTCAAACAGGACCCAATAGAGTGTACTATATGTGGTACACTATACTGTGCTGCGTGGTGTACATAGAATAGAAAAGTTGAATAGCCGACTTAGGGTTGTAATCTGGAACAATGATTGTAGACGATTTCCCCGAGTAGGGACCCTCCCAGAAGGAATCGCTTTGACCATGCTCCGAGGGTGGGCCTCACTGGGAGAACAATACGTAAGTGTGAGCTTGGAACCATATTAATCAGTGATGAAAACAAGTGTCACAGTAGCGACTGATTTTCGAATGAGTACGCAAGTTTTTGTGAGTTTCTGTTACAAGTCGGTAACAAGTTTGAACTTTGCTTGCGCTCAAGTAGACATAAAGGCGAATTAGGATTTCGATGGGTTCGCGAAATGAAAAGCTACTCAGCCCAAATAACTGAACTAGCCATAAAGTCAGAGAGAACAATAGGTTGACGGAAACTCATAGACTGCGCCTACCTGATGAGCCTGAAGAAGGATGAAATCGGTCGTGGGCTGTCGAGGAAATTCCAACCAAAAGATCTGGGTAGATCCGGTGCGCTTCATCGATACGAGTGGACAAAATCAAAGAACATTAGCTAGTTTGTCTAAAGTACACTCCTGCAATTCCCAGCGGCCTGGCTTTCAAAATGGGACGAAAGCCCAGGCATTGATTTGCACGACATTCTTAGCAGAATTCGAAAACTACTCGGGAGTGAATTGGGATCGTCTTTGCCCAATCCTGTTCGGTTTGTGCTTAACAAGCGTGTGCGCAGTGTTTCGTCATAATCAAGGCGATTCACCAATTCAGTACCTAATGCATGACCACTTAATCAACCCAAAGCGTTTGTCGGTCAAAACAGTTCTGCGTGAGCCGAAAGCCCAGAGGTCGCTGTTTGTACTTTATATTCGCATTTTGAAGCGGAGGTAATGCGGCTAACTTAGCCTTTATTCGGATTTGGCTTGAATATAAATTTCTAAATATCTACCCATCAGCCTGTACAATTGGTTCGAGAAGACATGCCAGTGTTGATTAGAATGGTTGATGCGTGGATTTCGGTTAATTCCGCACTTTGAACTGAAATCACGAGTTGCGAAGTGTGGACATCCTACAGGTGACGTGTTCCAGGATATGCCCGAATTCAGTTGCAATGCCTGTACAAATTTCTTGAGATCGAGTCCTGGAGGCTGAAAGTCTTTGAACAGCAAATAATCACAGAACCGACTGCAATCTGACGCAAAGCTAGCTCCACTAGTCAAGCTATCTTCAGCCACTCACCGAAACTCGCCTAGCACAGCAATTTACATGCGATTAGCATATGAAGGAAATTCAAACTCGAGAACATCACAAATTCCGTTGCATGGACAGTCTTCAAGTGAGTGGATTTAATTTCCTATCACTGGAGGATCGGACACTCAACAAAAGTCTGAAGTGAGACTGTCTCCACAGTCGTGTGAACCTCTGAAACACGTTTGTTGATGCTGCACAAAAGACTGGGAGTTCACAAGAGGCTGAATCTCTCCAGTACAGTCACGATCACTTAGACTTGTGCAGCACGCGAACACACGTGTCTTAATAGGGTCGGCCTCGTGGGTCACCGGCATATTTTCCAATGAAGGCCGTCAGCGTAATTAACCACATAGCTACTGGGTTGCCGTCTGGCTACGCACTACTGCCTTGATGGTTAACTGGTGGACAGTCCGGGGAGC